AGAAGGAAAGAAGGAAAGAAGGAAAGAAGGAAAGAAGGAAAAAGAAGGAAAGAAGGAAAGAAGGAAAGAAAGAAAGAAAGAAAGAAAGAAAGAAAGAAAGAAAGAAAGAAAGAAAGAAAGAAAGAAAGAAAGAAAGAAAATGCAGATCAGAGGGATACAGAGATATGAGGACCATTCCCTTCATGATTCAGGTCCCGAGTCTGGTTAGCAGCATTCAACTGTATTGGAAGGGAACAGGCAATGGTAGGTTAGGTCAGTCACTACTAGCTGTTTCTTTCATTGTGGAACTAGCTGACAGCCTTGTTGCTTGATCAAGGACACTGTGAGAAGATGGAGGGCAAACAATCATTCATATAGTGCCACCTCTTAAGTTTCTGTGACCTAAGATGATTTACTTTTCAGCAAGCTCAAAGCAAACACCACCTTCTTTTGCATTGTGTTTGTGAGTATTAAAATATGCTGTCTATAACATGTGGAGCAAAATCTATCTCCGCTGTGGCATGTACAATTATTTGGTTTGGGAAAAGTACACAGCACTGAGAATACACCATGCTAACTCAGGGTTCTTCTTTTTTATGGCTGTTCATATGATTTGTCTCTGTAGATCCAACAAATCCATTACCCACATGTAGAACAAATTTACAATTCCAAATAGAAATTTCCTTACCTGCCTTTGTCATGTAAATCCTTCCATTTTGTGTAATCAAAGATATTTCTGAAGTATAAAAACTATGAGCAGTCTTCCTTACATAGTTACTTAGAAAGTCACACACTAATTCAAAAGTATTGCCACCATCCATTGAAATCCATACCTAAAGGAATAAAGAGATAATACCTTACTAACAACTGCCTCTAATTTTCAAAATTAGCTATTAACTTGATCTTCCTACAGAAGAAAAACCATGCAGTACTATTTTCCTCACATCTCTATATCCATCACGAACTCAGTCACACACTGACTACCTTCCCACTCACACACTTGATTTAACTTTCCAATGTTTTGTATTGTCAGAAGTAATTAGATCAACTAAGTGGCTAGGGATATTGTATTCTCATTCTCTCCCCCCTCTGTTTTGCTCTGTCTCTGTGTCTCTCTCTGTCTGTCTCTGTCTCTGTCTCTGTCTCTCTCTCTCTCTCTCTCTCTCTCTCTCTCTCTCTCTCTCTCTCTC